GGAAGGTGGTCACTGTGTTAAAGCATGTGAAAAGGATCCCCAGATTCCGCCCAGTGGTTCACTGCCCCATCGTCGTCGGCAGATTCTTCTGAGTGTCGTATTTCGATGTTCAGCAAGACTCTATCCTTTCACCCCGAGACCAACCAGTAAGTGAACCAGTGCCTGGAATCATTCGAATTTTGGCAACAACACAGTCATTAGTTCATATGGGGTGATGACCTGATAAAACCCTGGCACTACCTTTGGAATACCAGAGAAAGAATATTTTGTCCAAATCAGCTAGTTACCAATGAACTGAAAATTGTTCAGAGGCCAGGATAACCCTTCACGATTCTTTGAAGACGGACCATTCAGGTTTTCAAATGGAGGATATCCCGTTTATCTTCTTCTTGTTTTTTAGAGAATTCTTTGTAAAACCCGCTATGTCTTTTAAAGAAAGAACTCTGCTGAAACGAACTACCAGAATAATTGTCGTACTAAAATTTCCAGATTTCCTGCAAATAGTTCAACAAATAGCTCACCTACTCTGTCTTTGTTCGAGATCTGAATTGAATTCCATAAATTTGACAGCGCGATACCCTTGTTTTGGGTTAGGTCTATCGCTGGCTCATCTAAACAGATTTACAAAAGTATAATTTCAGTCCCAACATCAGGGGCAGAATGTAGTCTAGAGCGGAAAGGAATCCATAATGGCAGTGGTGGGTTAGCACTAGTTTTCAATGATTGCGCTAAAGTATTGCCAAACATGCTAGATGTGAATCAGCTTGTTAAATAATATGAATTGACATTCTTCTGACTGAATGGCGTTGCTCCAAAACTCCACTGGCTGCACATATGACGTCTTTAGCATGAATGAGGAGTTTATCTGCATTGGAAAGGTGAACTAGACGCTTCTAATCTGGTTTGCTGATTTCCCCTTTTAAAATAGTTTTAAAGTAAGAATGGAGTTTAATGTGCAAGACTAGTGGGAATGATATCAACAACATAAACAATATTTGTTGCAAAGAAGTGATTTTCGAGATACTTCGTTTGCAAATCTATCACTCACCTGTAGTGTGATTGACCACACGGAGATTGGACAAACAGTGAACTCGAGGTTGCATTGACACTTTCGTGCACTAGAGGACCATTCACAACAGTTACAGAATCCAAACAAACGCTCACAGAGTCAGCAACATCTTAAAAAATACACAAAGGAATCGTTAAATAGGTTTCAATTTGGATATAAATTAACTAGCAATCACAGCCGGCACGTAACTACTCCTCATATACATCACACATTCTCGAACATTCTTGGATAGTTCGATAGACTATCTTCGAGAGTAGGGCTGAGACTCAGCTCATTCTCCACTCGTTTACTTCCCTAAAAATCGTCGCCCATTGTGATAGTGTGCTTCGAGTATAGTGTGACTAGGAGTTCTGCGGCCTAAACATGCAGCATTTTCAGCTACAAATGCAGTCGATTTATGTTACGTACGAACATTTCCCCACCATTTCGTAGGTGTTCGCCCTAGACGACGCTTGCATCCTCTCCCACAGATTCAAAGACCAGAATTGAAATATCCGATTTGATGTCAGGTCTGTCGGCTATATTTAAGAGGACAGCGTTCAATCGCTACGTAGGTGCCGTACAGTATAGCGATTGGTTGAAATATGAACCGACATCTCTTTTGCGTGAAAGAAAGCCAATAAGACCGTTGTGTAAAAGACTAGACACCGAGTTTTGGGTTCATCAGATCATCGGTAGCTTCTTTAACAGACGTGAACGTGACAAATGCTGTTCTCTTCAACTTCCTCGTTTATGCCTTTCTGAATGCTGAAGTAACGCTAAAGGAACAATTCCGATGGACTCTTTGAAATAAGGGAGCAATCAATCCAGTTCTATTTGTTACCTTCGTAGAAATAGCCGTATTATCCTTCGTTGTGTATAGTGGGGCTCCTTGAGGAACGCCTCTGCTTCATTGATATTCCTCGAGAGATGATGACGTCGCAAGCAAAAAGAAGCTTTGGTACGAAAGTACGAAACTACTATTGAAGAGCATACATTTTAGCCCCATTCGAGTAATATCCTTATCCACTGCAATGCGGTGGTATTAGCGGTCCTTAGCAAGATGGCGCCGCTCTTTGAAACCTCTTCTCATGTGAGGATGGCAAAACGTATACGGGAGAGTCGGATTGCCACTTTTTAGTTGGTCTTGAACGCTAATAAAGAGGCACTAGAGCATAGAAAAGGATAAAGCTATCGCCGTTGATCAATCCCTGAGGGATGCGCCGTACATTCGACTTCATTTAATGAATCACCGTTAGGAGGTGATTGAAGGCACATCTGGAATTTACGATTCGCGGTGGCCTACCGATATATCGAGCTAGTGCTGCTATTCTCTCAGACATGTTTCCTACTAATTTACTGACGTCGGAGAGATGCAAGGCTTAGTGGGCCACGGGCGCGGGCATCGATCCAATGTGTATTGAAGGGCGCCTCCGACCACGACGCCACACGCGCCCTTATAAACAACCACCATAGAAGAAATTTTTTTGGGTAAATAAGTGCCGATAGAATGGAATTCGTTTGAATGGTGTCAAACAATGTCTTCTCAATCGGAAAATCTCTTTCTGATCCATAAGCGCAACGACTGCCTGTGGTGGTGGCGACTTAGGTCAGACTTTGGCTAAGTTGATTTTGGGACTTAAGGGACCCACAATGGCTAACCCAAGAAAATTCCGAGAAAATCAAAATTATGCTGGGGTCCGCACAACCAATGAGGACGGGTCATCCGAGAATCCAACTAAGTAAGTATAACTTCTGTAATGCTGAGATATTTGCAAAACTCCAGACCGCAGGTGTCTACTGTAGGGAACGAACGTGTTATTACACTTTCCAAGGGCTAACGTGTTCACCACCACACTATGCGGGTCCTTTGTTCCCTGTCTCTCAGTTGGCTATATCGATCACTGCTAGGTGTCTGCGGTGGGGAACGAATGCGCTATTATCCTTTCCGCGGAGTTGAGACACAGGCGAAACGAAGGACTCGCATGGTGTGGTGAACGCGTTGCTCCCCGGAAAGGATAATAGCGCGTTCGTTCCCCACCGCAGAACCTGCGGTCCGGAGTTTTGCAAATATCTCAGCACTACAGAAGTTATACTTCGCAGCATACCTTGCCATTAAAAAGAATAGGCAGTAAATAAAAAGGTTAAAATTGTAAGTAAGTATATATTTGGATTCTTGGATGACCTGTCTTCACTGGTTATGTGGGCCCTAGCATAACCTACATTTGCTGGTTTAGCCATTTCTGTTATCTGGAATCCCGAGATCAACCTAGCCGAAGCCTTCAGATCGTTACCACTCCAGGTAACCGCAGCCGTTGTGGATCAAAGCGACATTTTCCACTAGTTCGATGCCAGGACGGTGGTGATTTCTGGGATTCATTTGCTACTAGCTGGACTTCCGGATGGAAACGTCCGGTTCCTTCTCAGTCTGGGAGGCCCTTTTGGAAAAATGAACCCTGTACATCGCTGCTGGCACCGAGGAACATCTTCCAGCCACGATGAGGTAGTAAACCGTTGGGAGAGGTATATGGAGAAGAATCATCTAGATATCGAATGGGGTAAGTAATCAATGAATCAATCAAACGTAATACGTTCGAAGTGGAAACTGGTGAAAAACCAGTGCACTTATTCAGCTTTCCGCGTTTTGGTTCAACTCCATAACGAATAACGAACGAAAAAGCTCAACCTAATTGTTCCAACAAAAAGCGAAGCCACAACCGCCGTAACAGCAATTTGCATAGAAACATCTTACAAGTTCGTTTTCATAGAACGTTTGTGGTAAAAAATACTATTTACAATGCACCGAAAGAATTTTAGTTAAAGAACAGATCTCTATCGACGACACTGCAATTCTATGAGGTCTGCAAAAACTGTTCTTCAATAACGCCGCCTAGGCACCTTTCGGTACCAACACTTAAAAATCTCGGATTTGTCGCAATTAACTATGTACCACTATCACCACGTCCGCCCTAAATGAGCTGATACTTCCACCCCTTGTCTAGCTGCCTAGTGGAACTTGGCATGCCCTCATTTTTATATTTTTGACAAATGATCAAACCTCTCTGCAAACCAAACTGCTCACTAACAAGGAAGTGCTACACTTCTGACAAAATCTACAAACTATTTATAAGTCCTCACAGTGCTTAACATTATTCCATGTCATCCAGAGCAGCTACGCCATCACCTTCATTATCGACTAGGTTAACGGAGAGATAGGAATAAAAATGAACCAATATGATAAATTGTTATCGTCTTAGGAATTGGAACCTCGTAAACATATCCCCTGATTTCGAAAACCGCACTAAATCATTGAAATGGAAGTGCCCACCTTTACAGATATTATTATCTGTCTTGTAGAGAATATTCTCTATCTTACTACACCGCATAAACAATATTTGCATGATGCCTTTCTCTTCACCATATACCAAGAATCCACTGGAAAAGTCTTAAGATTTTGTTATTGCGACTCCTAGTCCATTTTTGTTCTGCAAATTGATAACGTTACTGCATTTCTTCTAGGTATGTTTGTTGATCTCGTTGCGTTTATTGTTGATGTGTCAGTATCGCTCACATAGAGGTTCAATTACCCAAGTTTTCATCTATCAACTACGACACCTAAAGAAATATCACGTTCTTGGCGAGAAGCAGAAGAGCTCACTTTCACTGAAACTAGGGGATACGAACCAAAATTCGTAAATTTTACACCTGGAAACCAATAATTTATAATAGTTCCCAAATTAACACACACTAAATTGTTTGAGAAAAGTATCGCTCAGTTTATTATACGCCTTTTCATGGCAACATTATAAACGTCGTTCGACAAACACTAGAGTGACCTCAGTAGGTCTACAATTATTTCAACTGTACACAGCCTAAGTCTAAACACACTGTGAAATGATGTCGGTAGAGCACAGGTTAACACACTGCGATATGATGGCGATGGATAGCAGCACTATTCGTAGACATCTTCGCGTTCACAGATGTACTTAAAAACATCACGACCATTCTTCCACTTCTCAGAATCCTCTATTGGAATTTCAAAGCGAAATTCGTCTTCAATCTCCATCATTATCTCCGCCTGTGATTATTTGTAATTGGCTATAAGCAGAAATCCGTCTCACAAAAAAACAAAAACAAAACAGATGTAAAGTTAGAGTTCGATGGTTAAACCACTTGATCTAATGAATCAAAACCTAAATCCTTTTGCAAGTCGGCTTCAATTTTCAACAGAGATTCTTTGTCAGCAGGAAATCGATCCCAGGTACGAATTACTTTAAGTAAGCGAGATTCCACCTAATTAAAACACATCGTTGAACAAGAAAGGAGTCCAAGATCACTACATAAAACAGTAAGAAAAAGTTGTGTGATATAGAGCAGTTCTTGATTAAGAATCATTGCCTCATAATTCAGATCTTTAGAATACTTGATAGTTGATACTTGAATGGCCCGTCCTCACTGGTTATGCGGTTCCCAGCATAATCTCCATTTTTACGACAGGCAGTCGCAGCTCTTGTTGATCAGAGGGAGATTCACCACCATGCGACCTTGATACCAAGACGGTAATGGATCCTGGTATTGGTTTATTCTTAGCTAGGCTTCCTAATGGAAACGCCGGAATAGTGATAAAGGACCTTTAGAACAGTGCAATAAAACCTTTTTGCAACACAGACACCTAGAGACACTACACAGCGTGAAAAATTCGCTACCGAAGGAATTTCCATTAACTAAGAAGAACTCACCACTCACCACGCATATACTTAATTCGTTGACAAGCTAACACCAGGTTGTCGTCAAACAGTTATCCGGCTAATGTTTCAATGCCTTCGTCTTAATCAGAGCCGATGATCCGAGTTGATGCTACAGAGTCGTTCGTCTTCAATCTGAAGAAGATACGACTCGATATGACGATGAAAACACTACTTCGAGAAGGCGAACAACTGTGGAAGTCCATTCGGATCATCGGCTCTAAGGAAGACGAAGATGTCAAAACGTTAGCTGAATAAATGTTTGAGAACTTCGTGTCAGCTTATTAGTGAACGAAGGTACATTGATCATTCATACGCAGGTTGAATGAGTCGGTTTACAATGGTACCACTAAACATAATGTTTTATTTGCCGGGCGTTATCAAAGTGCAAAATTTTCTTAGAAGCAGTTTTGCTAAGTGGTTAATAGAACTATGGTTAAGTAAAATTTGGCCATGACCCGAAAATATTTTACAGAATGCGATAGTTAAAAGCCACTAATGATGGCAGCAATAGACTACACCACCCATGGAGTTAAGTTTTCATTTCTCATTTAATCTATTCACTTCAATGCACTAGATCAGCTTATAAATCTTGGGTAAACGCTATTCTCAACGATGTGAATTTCTAATTGCAGTGGTAATTCGTCGTAAATTTCTGTCTCTTTAAACTCTTTCGTTTCATTGTCACAAGAAACGCATACTAGTAGGCCGTAAGACCATCATTTGTAGTGGTTGGGGGCATATCAGTAGAAAGAAATACGGTAGTTTCACAAGTGAAATCACGTCTCTGTATAAGCACATCGTCTTAGACACCAGGAAACGAGATCGACAAGATGACACCACACATTTCTTTCTACAAGCCCTTTGTACCGTCTCTGCTGTATTCGATGTCATACTTGACCATCATATTACGCTACCATATGGTGACAGCCGATCTCTTGTCTCTAGGATATACGCTAACTCACTATCTTACCCTCGCTTAAGCACCCTATTATTAGCTTCTCACTTGTGTCAGTTTAGTATTGTCATTTCGTTTTTACCGTATTACTGCTACTATAGACAGTTTAGTCATTAAAGTTTGAGCTTTGATCAGTGACAACTATGAAAAGTCCCAAGTGGCAAATTCTACTGAACTTTACACCGAAGTGGTAATTATTCTGTATTGATGGCTAACTTGGAGAAGTATATTCCGCTGAGGTAACCAATGTAATCATTTTATTCCGGAACACCTAGTTTCCTCATACTTTGGGCAACGACTTGTAGCCCCGCGTTTTCAATTCAACGTTCACCACAAGCTGAAATATTCTCGATCAAAGTCGAAAGATGCAAATGTTTCTGACCACATATAAGTTAAAATCAATTAGTATCTCCCATTATGTGTGGAGAATACCACTTAATATAATATTTTGAAAATCCGTCTCAGGTAGAATACATGTGTTAGGTTCCTGTTAGGTTCCGAACATTCTTAACTGTTAATCCTTTCCTCTTGATTACAGATATTCTTCTCAATGTCGTTATTAAAAGAACGTCTGGACAGCTTACGTAACACCATAGCAAAAGAGTAGCAATCAAGACTAGTTACTTAATAAGCTGTCCAAAGTTAATTAGCGCTGAAGTGGTTTTTCTAGCCAAGAAATGGAATTTCCAACTGCAACAGTCCCACATGAGAACAAGACAACTGCAAAGAAAATAAATAGGTCTCTAAAGTGAGCAGTTATTAAATTGAACGCATAGTAAGACATCGTCCGCAATTACGACTAGAACCCAAGAAATCTGACTTCCGCCAAATGTCGGTTATTGGGCAATTTAACAACGGATTCGTTGTTACTTCACCGCCTGTTCCACGTTAATCAATACGGAAGCGATGATAAGTACAATTTTAGACAATTTCAGATGAAACCCCCAGTGGAGACTCAACGTCATATGCAGTGGGTTTCAATTCATTTAATCTATAACATTCACATTTCATACATGCTCACATATTAGTTGCACTACTTATCTGGAAAAACATCTAATGCAGCTTCCGTTGCAGTCTAAAAGACTGAGCTGAGCACTGCGCAAGCCTCACTTCCTACAGATAACAAGGATATTCTAAAACCAAAACGATTCTGTTTTAAATTCAAAGATAGATATAAAGTTTATTTCCCTCAGCGGTAGTGAATAATGTTGAAATTCGGAGTCTTGGAAGAAGCCTGCGTTATACTACTCATCTCCACTCGTCTTTCAGAGTTCAAATTTTGCAAAAATGCTATGTACCTATCTATCCATACATATTTATTCTAGAGGTATGATCTTTATCGTTACGTCTTCCCTCATTCAACTTTGATGTAATGATTTATTCCAGACACTGAAAAAATACTGGCCGTTGTTTCGGAATTTCCAGGGGTGATGTACCGACCCGCAAAACTTCGCCGAACCTTGACTTCTACAGCGCGTCGAAAATCAGTGGTAATAGGAAATGCGCCCAACACAAATCAGATGCAAATTGTAAGACAATCACTATGTTGAAGGTGGTGAGAAGAACCTTCAAGCACATCTTCCGGATTATCCACCACCTCTGATTATTGGACCAACCATCGGTTTGTACACTGTATCAAGTCAACATTTAGAATTGCCTAAATCGCCGAGCAACTCTGCGTCACCTGGCTGATTTTCTAAATATCAACTAGGCAAATGCAGCAACCGTATGATCATCCGTGGGTCTATGACCAGTAACTCTGAATTCGTCCTTCGATCTCTAACAGTCCACAAATACTGCAAATCCTTCAAAACACATGGAAACCTAGATCCCTGTCAATAAAGTTCGTTTCAGCGACTGACGTCAAAATTCGTATGTCATATTGTGTGGTCATATGAACAACAACAACAACTAATTGCACCCATTACAAGTGTTCAACTGACAATACTCCATATTTTATTATTGTCAGATATATCGAAAATGTAACCTGGACTACGAAAGACAAACAGGAGTCGATAAACCGAAAGTTAGAATGGATTTCTCCTCTCTACATCAGCTGAGCAAACCACTTCTTAAAATGAGATCAATCTAGCAGCTCAATACGATTCATCAAAACTACTACATATGTAGAGGAAGCTATGTCTCCATACCTTTGATGAGCCGTCATACACTTGACCTTCGCTTGCTCAGCTATAAGGGGAGAAAAAATCATCTGGTGAAGAGAACCCGGAGAGAGATTCATGCATTTCCTGCTGCAATTTCATCTGTAGCAACATTGCACAATCCTTTAGCGCGCTACACTAAAATATGTGGACATCTAGAAAAGAAATGGCTTTAAAAAAAACGAAAACTAACGCCTTTCAAGATGAGACGACGATTAGCGAGTAACACATCACGCTCTTGCCTTAACCGTTCCAGAGCCACCCTGCTCTCCTCAAATTCCTTTTCATATTGTCGATCAAACTGAAGTTTTGTTCGGTAAGTCACATTTTCACGCATTCTGTGAACAAGAAAAAGTACCCTTTTCTCCCATCGCAACAGATTTGCAGGAGAGTGCCAATTTGACGCAATTCGTACCCTCTGAGCTGGAAAAATTGTTCGCTGAAGCTCCTGTTACAAAATTGAACGGTCTTTAGTAATAGAAGAACTCACCAGCTAACTTTCGCAGCCGATTGCGGTGTTCAATCGCAAGTAAGCAACGGCTGCGAGACATTTTCCGCCTCATTTTGCCGCTCGTGCGACGACTGCCACAGGATGTCCGAGTAGAGGTACCCGATGTAGAAGGGTTGCACGCGTTTGAAGGTTGTCGACTTGGTGCTTGTTGCACCACAGACTCAGAGTCCGAGTTTTCGGCACTCATTCTAACTGTTACAAATATCTTAGCATAAGATAACTCATACCGAACTCTCTTCTCTTGAGCACCGGGCATGGATTCTCACTGGTCACCAAGTGGACACATGGTAATTCCAGTGCCGATATGACGCTACATTTTTCGTAAACACCTCGTTTCGACGCCATATTTTGGTCACAGGTTTCTCAACGCTGCCTACTATTCCTGAATCCACACTTGTACTTCATTAATTTAGCACGTTAGGCAAATAAAAATTCCTTGAAAGGTTGACTGAGTTGCGGATTTTCTTCGAGTCTGAAGGAGCCTTTAATGCCTTCACTACAACAGCTCCTCAATCATTAAGTAAAGCTATCAACCAAAGCAGCCGGTAAAACCTTGTTATTCGCAATAAACGACAGCAAGAACATATCAAGTTAATCTAAGATATTCCGAAGAACTCAATTCGTTCAACTTATTGACGCCCATGTTTTGCATTATTCGCAAACAAATACTATCTGTGTACAACTGTGCATACAAACACGGAAAACAGCCCATAGGAATGCAGGACACGGACGCTCGATCAGCTAAAAAGATTGAGAGCAACAGATTCCTCATATGTTAGCCAGACCACCACCTATAAACCAGTTGTGAATCAATACATGCAAAATGAAAACCAATTTAAAATAAAGTTGTCAGACAGGAGGTTAACACAATCCATCCACGGACTCGAATTCCCAATCAGTCAAACGAATACGATAACGTCTATCTTTCACATATAAGCACCCTCTCACACCCTCCACTTTTGTTGTACTCTTTCCAGTCCTCATTAGATTTTGACTTCCCTCTCTTTTAACCCACCATTCAACAAACATCCCGAAAACCTCGAAAGACACAGTTTGTAATAAAACAAACTAAATAGTTGGCAAATACTAAAACCACCATTTAGCCATACAACACCCGCACATCCTCCCACCAAAGAACAACATAACATCACTCTCCGACTGCAAAGAGACGGCATAAGACATAAAGCAGAACACCATTTTAACAATGACAAGTCGAACCACTCCCATAGCACTTAAAACTACGCAAACATTTAAGGTAATCATCACAATCCCCATAGAGGATAAAAGAACAAAGCTCTCGGCGTTGATCAATTCCTGAGGGATGCGCCGCGTATTCGACTTCATTAAACACCATTAGAGGGGATTGAATGCATATCTGGCCTTCTCAACACTCGCAGTGGCCTACGGATGCATCGAGCCAGTGCTGCCATCCTCCCAGACAAGTCTGGTACCAACTTGCTGACTCCAGAGTAATATAAGGCTTACTGGGCCATAGGCGCGGGGATTAATTCCATGTGTGCACCGCAGAACGCCTCCGACCACTGTGCCATACGCATCTTTTTGATCCTCTTCAAAATCCCTATACAAAATTCTATCCCTAGTACAGTACAGACAACACTCTAGTGCCCCACCCTTATATATCAAGTTTTAAGGTTATACCTCTCTCTTACGTTACCGACAACTACATCTAGTTGCTATACGGGCTATATTCGTATACAATCTTTGCATTCAAAGGCGTAGAGAAGCGTCACAGCGATAACAAAGTCCTTGTGCTTAATTTGCAAACAAAAACAAAAAAGAATGGACACTGATAAAAATATGTAGACGCGAAAAACGTCATCAGCATATAGATCAGAACAGTATTTCTTACAAATCTTTATTTCAAACGACACAACGTTGACCACACGGTAGGTGATCGTCCGATAAAAGATCAAGATAGGCACAAGAAGACGATAAGAAACTTTTACAGAAGACAACAGGAACCTAGTGCATGCCGATAACAACAAATCCGTAAGGCGGTCGTATGGTTAAACCCCGTACGGCACAGGAGGACCGACTACTTGGCTAACAGTACAGCCTGAAATCTTTTAAATGATCCATCGTTGTAATCACCAATTCAGAAACATTTCATTCTCTTAGAACAAAATGCCCAAAACCCCACCTTGGCCGAACCGCTCCACTCTGGCACAACCCTAAGTGGTCAGCCTTCCTCGCTAGCGGTACGATAACGCGCTCCACCAGGACGACACTCTCAAGCTACGATTGGTCAATTAATCGTAAAGCTTCCAACTAAACGAAATTAACTTTTAACCTCAACAATATGTCAGTTACGCAAAAATTCTAATCACACACCAAAGAACCTTAACGTCGTACCAACCAAATGGATTTAAACCTCAAGTTAGAAAGCCTGAGTAAGAAGGTATCGCACCCCAGACTGGTAGGCACTTCAGCAGGAAAATACCTTCTAAATAAACTAATAAATAACCAAACATAAAAGAAACAGCGACAGTTATTCGAATTAACTTTATATATTAAGTAACATCAGTTTCAACAACAAGCAATAAGAATACAAGAATACAACAGACGTAACCTGCTACCACTAAACAACACTACTGCGGGTACTTGGTGAAACTACTCATATCGTCGTCGGTTGAATCTTTTTCATATGAAGGATAGTTGAAATGTGGAGTCTGCAAAGGATCTCGATAAGCGTAGGAATTTCTGTCAACCATCTTTCGGAGACGATTGACTTGCTCGGTCAGTCGAGCAAATCCCTCTGAGAGACGCTTATTCTCTGAACGAAGGAACTCGTTCTCCTCAGTCAAATCCTTTATCCGAGCCTCACATGCGAGCAGCTGATTCTTCTTCTGCTCTCGATAACTCCTCGCATATTTGGCCATCTTCGAAGTACTGGTGACTTTCATGGGGCGACCGCGACGAGATGGCTTCTGGATAGATGAGACATACGGCTGTTCTTGGTAGGAAACAGGACGATGGGTGTTACCCTCTTCGTTCCACACTTTCAGTACACAATCGGCATGCACAATGTCAGGAAATGACGAACTCTCGGGATCGGAAAAATTGACTGGTGGCCGAGTAGGGTCAATGTAGCAATAGCTGGGTAATTCGCCAGAAATGAATGGATCGAAGTTGGAAAACTCAGCATCGCTTTCATCGACACTCTCACCAGGTGCAGCTGACTCACCGATGAACTTCATCAGGTCTTCCTCGTACTGAACTGAGGAGAGTATGACAGAGTTCTGATCAGCGTGCTTCGACACGCAACGGCCAGCAGAATCAGCGGATTTGGTGCAGTTCTCAGAGTCAGACCTGAAAAAGTCACACAACGTAGCTCCTTTGCAGGAACAAGAACACAAATCGCTGAAGAGAAGCAACAACAGAGCCACCGAACCTAACAAAGGACCGCAATCCAATGAGCACCGATCGATCGGCGAGACAGAGGCGTGCCCCATGATTTTCGAAAATAGGACTGCATACACTAGGCAACTACAGTAATCCGAAAATCTATCGATGGCGTTTTTTGAACGATGTGCCGTTTTCAGTTGGATGTTCCGAGAAAGTATATTCCGATAATAGTAAGTTTTCCGTTAAAAGAAGAGTTCCAGTGCTATATTCATCTATAATCGCTAGATGATTCAACAGCAATTATTATTCTACTGTCATATACCACGCACTCTAGCGGGATACAGTAATGAAAATAATCCGTTTGTAGCTTTCTTTTCGAGAGAATGCGAAGATTTTTGGTTGCGAAGAGTGTAATTTGACACTAAAGTATTTTCTCCTTCCAACGGTTCACCGTGGCTAGAAGGTGTTCCCGTTTGTCGGGTTTCATTGTACAGCTAGAGGTTGAACACCCCAGCAGGGCCTCCCAAGCTGAGAAAGAGTCTGATGTTTCCATCCAGAAGCCCAACTAAGAGTAGACCAATACCAGGAATCGCTGCCTTCATGCTATCAAATTAGTCGCACGTTGGCAAATCTCCCACTGGTACAAAAGGGCGGCGACTGCATGGTCTACTCTGAGGAAGGCTTCAGCTAAGCTGCTTTAGTATAGTCATATCGTTGGTATCATATTACTATTGCTATAAACTGTTTAGTTACCAAAGTTTGATCTATTGGTCCGTGCCAACAATAAGAACCCGCGTGGTAAATTCTACCAAGTCGAGCATTCTGTCTCAAACTGGTAATTATTCTGTTCTGACAGCTGACCCGAAGAACTAGACTCCCCTGAGCTAACCATAATAATCATTTTATTCTCGAATACGTAATATCAGATTTTAGCATCCTTGTTGTTGTATTTCGTATAATACCCTGTCAAGAAAGAAGATTACAGAGTAATAAAAGCTAAGACATTGTGATTACAGCTTAACTGGGCTCTATGCTGATTTGTGCTCCTCAGCTCATTCCCATTGAAGAGTGATTCTTGATGACACCGTTGAGTAAAAAAGTGGCCCAGGGAAAGGCATTCAAAGGTCCTTGAACAGGGCAACAGCAAGTCCGACCCCACAAAGGGTAATGACGGGTTCGAAGCCCATCTGGGGCTCCGGGTTTTGCTAATCTCCCAACATGCTCGCAGTAGCCTAGCTGTTATTTCATGTTCGCCTTTAGTGATTATGTGGCACGTGATGTGGGACTAAGTAATAATTGGAAGTCTATAGCAAGAGTATTTCAAACGTAATGATGGGAAGAATCATCTGCATCGTTATCGTCTCTGTTGACGTGAATATGATTGATTCGCGCTGGAACTTGTAAAATCCCACTACTTTCCACCATTCGCTCCATCACTTGCACAACTTGGCGTCCACTAAAATGAAAGTAGGAACAGCAAGCAGCCAAATCGATTTTCATTTACAACTTATAATTGATCAATACTGTGAGAAATGAGTTAAATTACAAACAAAAAATGTTGGTAGATAGAACGGAATCTATTTGCTTCATGTTATCAGCCAAGGAAGAAAAAATATTAGGATACAAAGCTTTTCCTTGTGTACTATTTTCCTGCATACCTTTTACTATAAAAAAGCCGCTTCGTATTTCTATCGTAACCATGACCAACGGGAAAAAAAGTCGCCCTTTAATGTTTCCATGGCCATTCCAACTACCTGTAGTTGTGCTTTCTCGAATACACATTTCACTTCCTCATAGCGTTTTCAGTTACCGTCAATTTGCGCTTTCATTTCCCTCCCCATAGATAGCTTAAAAGGCGTTATGCGACTAAAGAGGAAATTTCAACAGAAAGAATAAGGCATGATGACAGCAGCAAAGACATAACAAAAGGATAAAATGATAAAGCTATCGGCGTTGATGAATTCCTGAGGGATGGGCCATGCATTCGACTTCATTAAGTATCGTTGAAGGTGATTGAATGCATATCTGGCTTTTATAATAACTCGCGGTGGCCTCCCGATGTATCGAGCCAGCGCTATTACTCTCCTAGACAAGTCTGGTACCAATTTACCGACCCCAGAAAAGTGGAAGACTTGGCGGGCCATGGGCGTGAGAATCGATTTCGCGTGCTTGTTGCAGGGCGCCTCCGACCACTGCGCCACACGTGCCCAGGCGACAGTATAGAGAAAATAAGAGGCCAGCAATTTAATACAAAAAAGTTGAAGAATAACAAAAATAGAAAATCGCCTACATGATTTTTCAGTTGTGCATTCTGAAATATGATTTTCTTCAACTGTTTCGCCGGAGAATCGTCCATAACCTCGCTGAAAATTTTGAAAATTTCACCCATCAGAGATCAATACATTGATTATTCTATTAAAACCTATTTGATAATATCTCTACATCGGTTCGTTCGATACATCGGTAGGCTATTGCAGGCCATTGCATAGGCCAGCCATGCATTCAACCATCTCTCCAGTGCTACGAATTGAGTCGAATTCATGGCTGATCCCTCAGGGATCGATGATCAACGTCGAGGGTTTTATCTTTTCTATCCAAAATACCTCTGGAGCTTGGCGCACTGAAGTTTCATATTCCTATGCGAGCATGGTGACTTCTGATGATGCTACATAAAGAAAGATGTTTTCTACGACGATCTTCTGCTTAAAGATTATTTATTACAGGCAATAATTGCAGGCTTTCTGTGGCTACTGTTGTTGCTAAGGGGTGCAAGCTATAAGTAAGCACTGTAATTGCTTCTACGATGAAAGGTCTCTTATCGGCATCCAACGATCATGATTGTTGGCAAAATTACCACTTACCATTGTTATTAGCTATTTCCGTTAGATTGTATGTTGGATATATATATGTATATATTGTATCTGCTATTTGTAAATTCCTCCCAACGGTTTACAACCTCATCATGGATGGAAGGTGTTCACGTGTGTCGAGCCGCGATGTACAGTGGGGAGATCCATCCCCCTGGTAGGGCCTCCTAAGCTGAAGAGGAGTCCGGGGTTTCCATCAGGAAGCCTAGCTAAGGGTAAACCAATGCCAGCATCGACCATCGTCCTGGTATCAAACTAGCTGCATGGTGGCAAATCTCCCTCTAACCCACAAAGGCTGCGACTGCCTTTGGTGATGAAGACCTGGGGCGGACTTTGGCAAGGCTAACCTCGAGATTCCAAGGAACCACAATGGCTTAGCCAGCAAATCTCCGAGAAAAAAGGAGATGATGCTGTGACTCGCACAGAGAGTAATGACGGGTCATTCAAGTATCAAGTAAGTATTTGTAAATTAAGAATGGTAAAATAAATATGAGATAACAATTATTATAATTTGTTAACTTTTTCTAATGCTAGATTGTGATGAATTTAACTGATGAGCGAATTATAACTTTAATCATGCTGAGATAGTTGCAAAACTCCGGACCGCAGGTGTCTGCAGTGGGGAACGAACGCGCTATTGTCCTTTTCGGGGGGAACTCGCTGAGAGACAAGCGGAACGAAGGACCCGCATGGTGTGGTGATGAACGAGTTACTCCCCGAAAAGAACAATAGCGCGTTCGTTCCCCGCCGCAGACACCTGCGGTCCGAAGTTTTGCAAATATCTCAGCATCATTAAAGTTATATTTCGCAATATATACGCTGCCCTTAAAAAGGCTAGGCAGTAAATAATAAGTTAGAATTGTGATGAGCGAATGTTCAGTGAATAACGAGCCACGCTGAAGAAGCCTCCTAGATGATCTTAAAACCATCTTATCACAGCGAAAAGCTGTCTCTAAGAGAAGAATCCGTTCAGACAAAGGTATTTCTGCGGCTCTTCACCGGTTATACTCGCGATGGTGCATTCTCTCTTCAACACCAACGGTTCCTTGCCGAATAGTAGAAGTTTCGGGAAGAACTTTTTCGAAGATTTTCGAGCTTTAAGGACGTCTTTTCATAAGCCATGGTTGACATGGGAACAGGGATTGACGAGATATTGATGGAATGCAGAAATGGCGGTAAAAAAAAAACTGTCAACTACTGAAAAGAGACGGTGCTATTTCGGTACACTAGGTCTGGTGCGTACTAATAGAGCTGGGTTTTTCTCTAACCAAATTAGAATTCGAAAACACCCATGGGAGCAAAAAAAAAACATGTTGAGAATGACGTTTTAAATCATTTTCTTCACCTAAGATGTGAGCAAATGCACATCCTCACGGAATACGCCAATTGCACACGGACTTAAATGGGTTTCCGTGCTTGGGATGGGTACATTGCAAACAGTAGGAAACTCCAGGGCAGTCCAAGTGCGGCAACATTTTAGGAATCGTCGTGCGTCAACAGGGCTGAAAGGAAATGTCAGCAACGTCGGGCTAATGTACGCGAGAATGCATAACCAGAGAGTCGGCAATTTGTTGCCAGAGTTGTCCAGAAAGAAAACGTCATTGAATTGACACAGTGGAAGGGAAGACACTGCATAGATCAGAAAGGTATTCACTCACCCCCAACCATGTTTGGTAAAGTCGAATGCATGGCACATCCCTCAGGGATTGATCAACGCCGAGAGCTTTATTATTCTTATCCTTTATCCATTTTTTAATACCAAGGCTTATCTCCTGCACTCATGTTTGCTTTGAGAAGTGAATATCGAAAGAATGCACATGAAGTGTGACAATAAGGAATATTTTGAATTGGATTGTAACATTATTCTGAGGGTAGTGATAGGAAGAATCACATGTATTGTTGTCGGCTAGCGCTGACATGAATATGGCTGTTGGGTCTTGCGACTTGAGGCCCTTCCCGTTGTTTCCTATCTTCCACGCCCTCAAACATATATTCTTGCGTACGCTACCTAAACCATGCCGACACTTCCTTTCAGCCACATTGAGGCACACGGCTTTCAAGGATCTGGCTAGTACCTAGGCTGCTCGATTCGGCACTTGCCATAGGTCATGGATTAAAGTATGTGTTCGATCATCGTATTCCGTGCGCGTTTGCGTTTTTTCGCATTTTAGGTAAAGAGTATGATTTAAAGCCTCAGTCTCAATATGTTTTTTCTGCTCTCATGGATGTTTTTGAATTGCAAGTTGATTAGAGTAAACCTAGCTCTATCAACAGCTTCATTTGGTGACCTTCACCTCACATTTCTTTGAAATAAAACTGATGTGACGAACCATACAATGCGTTTTGAGTAATAGATTTTCTGTCTCTGACTTGCAAACTTGAATGCTTGGACGGCCCGTCTTCACTAGTTGTGCGGGAGCCAGCACAATCTCCATTTATTTTTCTTTTTCTTTTTTGGAAACTTACCGGTTGAGTCACTGTGGTCCCTGGGATCCCAAGGTCAGCCTGGCCAAAGCCTGCCTCGGGTCTCTGACTAGCTAATTCAACAATGAACAAAAGAGAAAATCGAGCATTATATTTATTTATACATGAAAAACAGGACTAGTTGATGTGGCACACAGTTATAAAAGTGTATTCTTCTATGTGAGAACTAGTATGTACAACAAATTCGTCAAATACCAGGCATATACGAGGAGGAGACGAGATTAATCGAGTGTCAACGAAAACAGTAGCACCGAACAATTGATGTAAACCGAAATGAATGAATGAGCCTCGGCTTTAAAGTGTGCAAAGCAATTCTGTTAATGATACACAACTTTATAATAGCAAGCACATATGCGATTCGACACAATGAAAAACATGAGTATTGATCAATGCTTGGTGAAAATCAAGACCTATGATTCTCTTCTCTCTGGTTGTTAAAGTGCTTACTCCTAAAGTTATGTGGGTCCGTTGAGGATTCCAAGAGAGCTATTGGCGTGTCGATGCTTAATGCCAAATCGAAATCCGAGTAGTACAAAAAAAGTTCCGGAAAATAGAAGGTACCTTGACAACCAACAAGGGCACAGAATCCGATAATACAAGCTTGCACAACCAGGTAAAATCCATAAGTTACTTCTCAGTTTTGAACAAAAGGAAGTGCAAAAAATATCAAGGATCAATTTCAGCAGTTTGAGACGAATAGGATATCATAAGCTCCTTTGACGCTGATAATGTCATATCGTCAGGATGGTATTGTAATTCTATCTGCGCTTTTTTTTTGGGAAAGGGGTAGGGAGAAATCTCTTCGGCTAAAAAAAACTCTAGCGATGTACAGGGTCTATTTCCTAGATCATTCACTAGTTTTCAACGAATCTCGACAATTCATTTGACGAGGTTTTGCATGTACAAGATTAACATGAGGAGATCCCGTATGCTCAACGATGCGTTGCGACGACGACGTCATCAGAGGTGTTTTGAGCGCTTCTGAATCGAATTGAGGACGACTAGAAAACGCCGTAGTTCTTTGTACTCTGTGCGACTCGTTTCAGATCGTTAGCTAACTGGTCGACCTCGCGTGGATCAACGCGATGTCCGTGATCGGATCGTGTCACCGAACGAATGGATCGAGTCGATTTTGTCTGCAATTGCACAAATTCACATATCTTATCTAGGGATTGGTTTCTGGTCTACTGTTTTAAGACCTTCTAAACTGTTTCGCTTTCGGATGTCGACAAAAATACAAGAGTTATTGTTGCTAGCAACTCTCAACACATTTGTGACAACTTTCAAAGTTTAGTTCCCAAATATCAATGAATATAAGCGGATTAAGTAGTAGGATTATGTTTATTCACAACAGTGGATCTCTACTGGTTAATCGCAATACCATTTTGCTCATCCCAAGGAGTTGTAGAAGGTCCCTATGATGAACATGAGGTTAAATGAGGACCAAAGTGACCTTGCGCTTCCAGATGGCGCTGATGGATCCAGAGAAGGGCAACCTGTATCAGCTAAATAATGACATATGCATTCAAAATATAGGTAAGAATATCTATTTGTATGCGTCGAAAGTCTGTAATCAAATACCGGCAGGGACATGGGAGACGCCTAAGAATCGCCTTCAATCAACCACCTCGTTTACAAGATCAGTGGACAACTCATCCATATACCCATCTCTCGTACCAGAATCAGTAATTCCTGCGAGTATTACTCTCCAAATACCATTGAAATAATGGTCTTCATTAACAAGACATTAAAATCTCAACAACGTTCTGAGTTACCTAAATCTAAGACTATGGTGATAACTTAGTTTACACATAAGTCATATGAAAGTTAGCATTGGAATTCTATAATTGAGCATATTATTGCTCTGGCTAAAAATATCAAGTAAGGCATCATCAGATTGGTCCGTGAGAGAGGACACCGTGAGTTAAAACCACTTATAACATCGGTGAAGAACTGTTTTTAGAAACATGGTAAACGAGTTCTCGGAATTGTTGCTCTCAGAAGTACGAACTTACTTCACTGTACGTTAGTTACTTTGAGCAAGTAAAAGGATAAAGCGTTAGGTGTTGATAAACTCTTGAAGGATGCGCCATGCATTCGACTTCATTAGACCTCGTTAGAGGTGACTAAATGAATTTCTGGCTTATACAATGACTTGCCTACCACTGTTCAGTGGTGCTTTTCTCGCAGAGCGATCTAGCGTCAATATGCGCATCCGGAAGAGGAGATGGATGGCTTGGTAAACTCTGGACATGGGATCGAACCGATGAACACGTATGCCTGTGGTAGCTCATATACAGCGTTCCCAGACCTTTGGGAAAGGCAGTCGACGGCATTTGTGAAATTAACGAACTTTCTTCCTGAGAATTTTGACAACAACGTATTGACCCCGCAGGAATGAGAAATTTGGTTTACCAAGGCGCAATATCGAACAAGCGTACATCGCAATATCGAATATGTGTATTGTAAGGCATCTCTATTCACGGCGTTTCCTGAACTCGAATCTAATGTTTGTTCCGAAAAGTCCAAAGAAAAGAGACAGCACAAGTATCGCCGAATGGACCCTGATATCCGGAAAGTCAACGCGAAGAACGCCTTAACTCCGAAGTTAAGAAAGAGGAAACGAGCGGGCTGCACTGAAGATATAGTGATGGGGACTAAGAACACCCGATTCCGTGCCTCTGTTCATGACTCGAACATTCTTCCTGCTTTAACACGCACAAGAAGAAACTAGTCGCTATCCAGAGAAAAAGATCATCACTCAACTCTATCTAAACGCGCACAAACAAAGAGAACGGTGCTTAGCGTGTTCCGTAGCACGCAGATGAGAGGTAGAATCCAAAGCACCTATTTAGGTTGAAGGCCAATGATCAGGAAAAGTATGGCCTAAAATATAAAAACCAGTAGGATGAGCAGAGCACGTCATGCATGCTTAAAAACAATTGATGGACAAGAGCTCCCAATCAACAAAGGAGTGTTAAAGGGTACCAAGCGAACAGCTGGAAGACCACCGACCCAAAGCACGGAATTGTTCACAAAAACCGTAACAGGAAAATATGATGTTCAGTAGGTCCCGAAAACGAATAGAACCCAATGAATCACTTTCATTCGCGACAAGGAGAAGTGGAAATACTATTGGTACATTTTACGGTCACTCGACGAGAAAAGACGGGATAGAAATGCATGAATTAACAACAGTGTAACATATGAACCACATTTGCCTCATGCCGTCTAAACTGTAATTTAAAAAAAGTTATTTTCATGTCTGTCTTTTTATGAAGCGCTATATCCCATCTCTGCGTCCAGTATTATAAATAAATAGCAATATGCTTTGGTTTTAGTGATCGTCGAACACCCTAATCATTAACAAACAACAAAGCTAACGCCTGATATTTGCATACGTTTTCGAGGTCGTATCATTCCACCATTAATAATAAGGAAATAACAAAGAATAGGGAAAAAATGGGTAGACATACTCTCTGCATGTTGTTGTATTCAGATGGGGTCCGACTGGTCTTGACGACGATGGACCGCTCGCCAGTTATCCACTCATGTTGTGCCGCATCGACAGCACTTAACCGTTCGGCGGCATTCGTCTCCAGCAAACAGTCGACGAACTGCTTTGCTGACTCCGAGCCCGACCAGAACTAAAAGAAAATGACTTTGATTTCTAAAAAGATATATTTTTTCCATTTCATACCCTGGTAACAAGCAATTCTTCGGTTGTTTTGGAATTCACAGTGATTCAAAAGAGGACTAGCCTAAATCTTTTGAAAAGGTCGAGTAATTTCCGTTGATCAATCCCTGAGAGATGCGTCATGCATTCGGTTCCATTCGTAAAACCGTAAAGGTGATTGAATGTATAAATTGACTATGTAATGGTAACAAGAGTTCAAAGTCAAACTGAGGCTATGAGTTTTGCTCACATCTCAGCATCATTGTGGTTGCATTTCACACAGTACTTTGCCAAGAATAGAACGTAGTAAAAGTTAAGACATTGTCAAGACGGTGTCTTCATCCTGTAGGACGATGATGGTACAAAGTTGTCCCGCTTGAACAGCGAGGGCTTCGTTGGCAACCTATGGGAACCAACCAATAGAAAAGTGTGTACTATAAGGTAGTTTAGAACATTCACCATAGATGCAGACGCCCATAGGTTAGCTGAAGGTGCAAAAAAGTCAAAAAATCGCCTGATTGCTAGTTCTACGTGTTAGTCGCCACTTTTAGATTAATCCCTAGATAAGCAAGCCTAACCTGCAATTATGCTGAGATGTTTTCAAAACTACAGACCGCAGGTGTCTGTAGTGGTGATCGAACACGCTATTACACTCTCCGGAGGCTATCATTGTAGCTATATTTCACGGTATAGCCTGCCATAAAAAAGAATAGGCATTGTATCAAAAAGTAGTTAAATTCCCGTCCTTTAGTTAATATTTGCGAATTATGCCATTTTATTAGGTCATACAGAGCTTTTTTTAAGGAAAGTATTGCTTTTGATAGTGAAGAGATTTCATGAGAAGTGAATACTGTAGACACCTGGGGATAGTAGACGTAGTTGGCGGTGATGATGTGCGTGTAGAGACGGGACCGACAATCATCATCGAACGGCATGATGCCCGACATCAGAATATATGCGATCACACCAACAGCCCACATATCGACCTGAAATCCACGAATCTTCAGTTATTGTTTACTTCATATCTCTTCTTTAGGAAATACTCCCGTCTCTTTCCATACTTTCGTTTTTTTCCCTTTATAAGCAATTTTTGTAATATTACGGAAGAACAATTATACGACCTTCTATCTAACAAATCTAACAAAATCCAGCTTTAGTTTTTTGTCAGACCACCACCAAGTGGTCAAGCCATGTTAGACTATGTCCACATATCCATAAGCTTTAGTACGTTTACACCTGAAACCTAAAAGAAAGAAGATTTCTTTTCAGCAATAAATGAAAAGTTGTCGAAAATTCTTCCCAATATTTGCTACCACAGAACTCTTAATAAGCGGTTTAGCTTTTAGAAGAGCAACCGAGCTGACTTTTTCAGTGTACGGTACTCGTAGTAATAACTCGGGTGCTATGTATTCCGGTGTACCGCAAGTTTCCGTCATGGTCTCGTTCGGTCTTGTTGCTTGGTGTGCCAAACCGAAGTCCGTAATTAGTAACCTGGAACGAAACAGCAGAAACTGTAAAGAAACACCCTGGAAGCTGTGACTCGAAATAATAAAAAAATTCCTCTAATGTAATCATAATTTCACTAATAGTACGTTTATTACCGCTTGAAAATTTCTATCATTTGCAAAGTTTCAAGACGAACAATGACGACGTGGGGTTATCAATTTGTAACGCTTCAATCGCATGATTTTTTCCGCTGTTGTTTACCAGAAAGAATTTCTCAGTTACCATTAGCATGAGATTTGTCTTTTGCAAATAGCGAAAATACGGAATTTTCAACCAAGCGGCTCTTTCTGAGGCGCGTTAAAGTATCCTCTGGTTGGGTTCCACTTGTATCACCTGTCGTGTCGTTGCTCGTCAAGTGAGACGAGCGCGCGCTAGATAATCTTCCATCTCTCCCTGTCGCGGGCTAAAGTAGCCCAGTGGGTTCTGCCCGCCGTAGGAACTCGTCGAGCATCATTCCTTTCTTCTAGTGTTTTCGTGAAGAACTCTGACTATGGAGTAGGTGGTCTTTGTGCAGTAGGTTTCACGTCCCAAGGAATCCAGTCACTAGAGGCTTTCGTCCATCGGCTGTCGCCCATACGTTTTACATAGCCACCCCACCTTATCTTCGGCAGTTTGGTGCACTGTGTCTTTGATTTTCGATCGTTGACGTAGGTCGGAATTTCGGATCCTTTTTCTCATTTTTGTGATACGGGATGCCCTTAGCATTGTCCTTTGTAGTGCATTTTCCATAACGCGAAGTGATCTTTCACCCTTCTTACGCAGCGACCAGATTTCTGACGCATACGTTAAGGCAGGAAGAATCGTGGAGTCGGAAAGTTGGCCACGGAGTTGGGTGTTCTCTTTACTACATCTTGATCCACTTGAAAGCTCCCCAAGCTGGTCGTGTCCTCTTCCTCACCTCTAAAGTTAAGTCGCTTTTATGTTGAATTCTCGACGTAGATAGACGTAGCTGAAACATTCGAAGATATTCATTCCGTCGAGTGGGAATGGAACACGGGAAACCAATCCTTTCCTCATGAACCTTGTTTTCAAGAGATTTAGATGAATCGCACCTTTTCTAGAGGTGTTATGAAAGTCGGCAAGCATTCGCTCCGACTGCCTACTGCTTGATACTGCAGGAACGATGTCATCAGTACCTTGCATTCTGTTGCATGTTAAGAGCCGAGCGCGCTTGATTTATTAGGACTGGCGGAAAGTCCTGACAGTGTTCGGATTTCACTCTGTCGGGGCCTGGTGGTGTTCGATTCCTCAGCAAAGAAACAACACGTAGGATTTCGAACTGTCTTGTTAGCTATTCAAATGAGCCAATTTTAATCGCCAAATTCGTGTTGACGAGAACGCCGACGCCGCTTGCTCCTCTATCGTCACATGTCCCGAGGAACAGTTCTTGTTCGGTGTCATACACGGCGTTGAATGGGTGGCCTCTTCTCGTTTCCGCCACTCCGATAACGTCGCACCTTATCCTTCTTCCTTGCATGATCAAGTCTTATATCGAGGGCTCGGATGCAAGTGTACGTGCATTGTAGGTACAGATTGCCACCTTAGTCCTTTGCGATTTAGACAGCCTAGAATGGCCTTGAGCAGCGGGGGGAGGGGGATGGCAAAGGAATGAGGTTTCTTTACTTTATTGTGTTTAGAATTTAATACCTACGTATAGCTTGTTGAGCTCCGGCCATAAAGGCTGGGCATATTCACGAGTAGCTTACCAGTCTGCCTCATGCACGGTATAAAAAAGCTTATTTGTTGGAGGCGTCTCCTAACTGTCTCCCATATATTTCCCTATCATTCGATTGTAAGGTTTTGGCCGAATCGACTCGTAGAATACAATCCTCTTAAACGAGAACACACCCATGCGCGCATGAATGAATGCGTTCTCGTAAATACGGAAAGTATATGCTAAATTGGCGAAGCAGAAACAGAGACCATCCACGGGATCCATCTGCGTCTCAAGAAAGCAAAGGAGGCTTTTGGTCCGCGACTAACCCGCTATCAGCACCTGGGCACCCGCAACGTTGCCCCGTGACTAAGCGGCATGAGGCCCCTCTATGAGGTAGATTCGTGGTCTCTGGTTGAGTACGTAACAGTAATTTTTACCTTCCCCTTCAATTATTTGGCATGGGACCAAAAATCGCAATATCTGCACACATTGATATTCGTGAGTTTTCATTTCGATAAGACCAAATTCTACGGTCTTCATCTCCAAATGTATTCTGTATTGTCAGCGCTTTACTATTCGAAATGCTTGTCGTTTAGAACTAGACACTTTCTTGACTTCATCCCATAATGTATTACGTCAACATTTGCAACATTTGTGTAAAAAATTTACGGCAAGTTTTCATTACCGTACCTAGCATCTGGCCTCATGTCGCTGTAGAGTAGGTTTTCCGGTTTCAAATCACGATGTGTAATTCGTAATGAGTGTAAATATGCAAGGCCGTTGAGAAGCATTTTCAATGCTTGACGAGCTTCGGATTCGGAGTATCTGCAAGAACAACTGAGTTCAAATTTTACCTATTTTTTATACAATTATATACTTCCATACATGGTTCAACTCCCACCCAATGCTTTATGGCCTCATCCTGTTTAGGAGATGTTCTCAAGTGTCAAACTGCAATGTAAACCGGGGTGGGGTATCATCCTTAAACACGATCACCCTGTCTGAAGAGTCGGACAATCCTATATTGAAGCCCAAACAAGGATAAACCGATGCCATGGCAGAGCTCGAAGGGCCAATGGCGGCTGAATTTTAGCCAAAGACAGAGCTCGAGTTATTCGATGATTAACTAGATTGTATAACTTTTATCTACTGCCCACAGCAGGCAGGGTATTGAGACATTTGCAAAACCTGGACCCTAGACCAGATATAATCGCAATTACCTTTACTGGGGGTTCACGTGTTACGCACGGCACCACTGAGGGCTCCCGTTCTATTTTTTCCTCAGCCAGTCTCATCACGCTAACGATACTATCAGCAATCACTCGTCAACGGAAGTGATCTGGGGAGCACAAATCGGTATTAAACCCAGTATAATATAGGTGGGGTTGTATATAACTATATAACAACTACAGAAGTTTTGCTTTTAGAAGTAATATTAAATGAAGGGAAAAAAGAATAAAGCTTTCGGCTCTGACTAATCCTTAAAGGATGCTCCAGGCATTCGACTTCATTAAGCAACGTTAGAGTAGACTTCAATGCATATTTACAATGACTTGCGGTGGCCGACCAATGGTATCGAGTCTAGCGCTGCTGTGCTCCCAGACAGGTCTGGTAGCATTTGCTAACGCCGGAGCATTAGAGGACTTGGTGAGCGTGGGCACGGGATCGATCCCATGTGTATTGCAAGGCGCTCCTAACCATCGTGCCATACGCGTAGACCGTAGACCATCCCCCCCCCCCCCCCCCCTCCGTAGATTTTGGGTTATGAAAGTTTCAGAAAAAAAAAACAGAGAAGATTTCAGTGTCACTTTCGTTCCGACTAGGACTCGCACTTTTAAACTTCTTTGGAAAAAATAGTATTCGCGATTTAAACGAATGTGATTAAGTCCATTCCACTATACAACAAAAGTAAACATCTCCCACCTGCCTTTAGACACCACTCGCTCGTACATTTCTCCTCCACTAGCCATTTCCATCACAATAAATAACTTTGACGACGATTTGAACACCTACATAAAACAGTTATCATTAATATAGGTGGTTTTTTCAAGTACATCTTGATTTCCGTAATCAATCTTGATTTTTCAAATATTTCAACAATAGAACGACCACAGCCAAATAGAAAAGCGTCGACATTCTGTAAACTCAAATTGGATCAAAACTACGAAGTTCTTAGAATGCAAGAGGTACTAAAGCACATACGCAACTACGCCTAATTTTTTGTTGCGCGCGATGTGCACTGAAAACTTCAATCAAAAAAAGTTTCAGATTAATAGCTACGAAAAATAACTTCACAAGAACCACGTCTCCTAGGACATCTGTGTTACAGAATTTATTGATTGAGTATAAAATGTACGGCAAATAAATAGCTGAAAAGCAGATGCACTGAAATCAATGCAAAGCGATAGTGTGTTGAAGGATAAGACAGTATTTCAGTCGCAGTCGCACCTGTCGTATTACGAGAAGTTTCTTGGATATCAATGAGTGTGGAACATTTCTCAGCGATCCGAATTCAATTGCTATTTCGAATCTCAGGAGGACAGAGGACCAAATCTCCACTCTCCATGCTTAAACGGCGCCTAACCACACTAGATTAAAGGGACGCATGATGTACGTGGAACGTCTTCACGAAGTTGATCAAAAACAAGATTTTATCTCATAGTCATTCACAGTCGAACAATAGAAAATTGATTTTTCACGTTTGAGTAGCAGTCTTCAACTTCAAGTGACTAAGCGCTACACTTGGTTTCACGGCAACATCCCTAAATCGTAATCTCCGGATAGAATTTGCTATTACAGCACTTGTTAACACACAACAGTTGACGTCTCGGCGGTTCCGCCTCCCATAGAGCCGTTTTATTCTTTGAAGTCTTTCTGTTATTTGCTGGTGATCGGCCACAGAGACTGCATGGGAGAAGAGTGAATAAACAGAAGGAAATAAGCAAAGAAAAGTCAAGAAAAAAAAAACAAAAAACGAAGTAAAAACAACTAAAAACGTAGAACACACTTCTTCAAGTCGAATAACGAACGGATGTGAAACTCGGCTCAAAATACTCAGTTCATTGTTCACCGATCCGCAATCGGATGAGACGAGTTTCACGGCGAAATACTTTCGCGAAATTCGGTGCTGAACCCGCATAACCTGAAGGGGACACCTTATGGAAAATTAAATAGGTACTATGGATTCAAATGAAAACTCCAGACAGCAACCGATACTTCGTAAAGTGAACAAATTAGGTCAGTAAATAATTATTTCCGCTCAACTGAAATCAAATTGAGATGTTAAAAAAACTGTGAGTCGAAAATTACACTTTATAGTTTTTAGGCTTTTCAAACCTCTAAAACCCCATAGACAGTAAGATCTATGAACTAAAGAGCTACCCTATTCCAGTCACTTAACCGTCATTCTTCACCAAACTCCCCTCATAGTCCCACTTGTTTTTTAATATTTAAAATTACTAGTACATTTTTGCATGTTTTTCACCTGCTTTCAGTTCTTACAATAAGAAAGAACTTTAGGAAATTTTAAAGCCATCACTAGCCATTTGATTAAAAATTATCTATTTGAAATCTTCTATTACATTGCTTTTACTAACCGAATTCAACTGTTTTTTATTTCATTGTTATACATCGCCAATGGTTTATCGCCCATTATAAGGGAGTCTCACACAGATCTCATTCATGTGACGGATCTCGAGCCGGTTAGTCGCGAGGCTACGTGGCGCGTCCTCAGGGGATGGATAGGGGGTTAATCGTGGACCAAAAGCGACCCTTGCTTTCCTGAGACGCAGGTGAATCCAGGGGATGGACTCCCTGTTTCTGCTGCGCTGATTTGGCACATGCTTTCTGTATTTGCTAGGCGTATTCATGCATGCGTGTGTAGGTGCGTTCTTGTTAATGCGAATTGTATTCTACGAGTCAATTCGGCCAAAAGCATGCAATCAAGTGACAGTGAAGTATGTCGGAGGCGGTTAGGAGTCAACTCCAACAAATAAGCACCATATCCGCTCTGGGAAAGCCTGGGAAGCTACCCGTGAGTATACCCAGCCCACACGTTCAGAACCCAGCAAGCTATTCGTGGGTATGAAAAGGCTAAAAACAGTAAAAAAAAACGGGCCTCATTCCCCTGACCTCGAAAGAACCCTGAATTTCGCAGCGTTGAGTAGGACGAGTACGGAGAGACTGCTAAGATCTCAGGGCCAATGGAAGCTGCCTGGATTACAAGGAACTATGGTGACGATCCGTACCTACTATGCACGTATACTTGCACCCGAGTACTCGATAGAAGACTTGCTCATGCAAGAAAGAAGGATAAGGTAATACGTCATCAGCCTGGCGAGACGACGCCACCCATTCAACGCCGTCTATGACACCGGAGAAAATCTGTTACTCGGAACATGCGACACTAGAGGAGTCGGCGCAGTCGGCGTTCGCGTTAACAAGAGTTTGTCCATGAACATTGATTCATTCGAAGAACTAACAACCAGAACCGGATGTTTACGATTAAAAAGACGTGGATCAATACCGGCTTTGACAATTTTCGTCGTCTACGCGCCGACATCGAACTATGACGAAGAAATCGAAGCGTTCTATATGAATTTGGAGAAGTTCTACAGAGAATACCATACATTCTTCAAGGTCATCATTGAAGATTTCAACGCCAAGATTGGACCAAGAAGAACGTCTGAAAAATGTCACAAGGGACCCACGGATTGGAATGGAACGAACAGGATGAGCGACGTTCTGAGTTTATCATGGCGACCAAGACCATCCATGGTAACTCGCAATTCCAGAAGCCCCACCCTGAACGCTGGACGTGAGTCTCCCAATGGAGAGTACCATAACGAAATAGACCACATCATAGTAAATAGAAGGTTTTGCCTTACCGATGTCACTGCTGTCCCAAAATTCTACACGAGATCAGACCACCATCCCCTTCGTGCAAGATTCTATTTCTCGCGGAAAGGAGAAAAAGCCGCTAAATTCAAAAACCGAAATCCCACAGCCACTATAATCCACTGGAAATCCACTGGAACTTCTTCGATTCATTAGTCGGCTGTTGGGAAGATGCCGTTGTCGATAACATCGACGAAGAATATAATCGGCTCATTCAACATCTTCAAGTTAGCGCTATGAAAGCTGAGAGTTCGAAAGTCACAAAGAGACGTCTATCTCTAGAAACACTCAAGCTGATACGCCAGCGTGGAATCACAAGAGCTGCAGGCAACCGCGAACTAACGTCCGACCTGGCAAAACAATTCAGACAGGCGATAAAAGAAGATCTTAAAGAGAGAAGAGCAGCAGTTATGGTCGAAGCTGGGAAAAGCATTCGCAAAGCCCACCGAGGCTTCGCCAATTACAAGACCAAGATGACTGCATTCCGACGCCCAGACGAAACAGTTACAGCGCCCAGAAAGGTAATGGAGAAAATCATTCACGAATACTACTCAGGTCTCTTCAATAGCCACGTCCACCTTCCGTCACATGAAGTAAAGGAGGATCGATGTTATACTACCGGTTCTCCCCTCCGAAATACGACACGCCATTTCGTCGGTGAAAAATCGAACAGCACCAGCTCCGGACAGGATAAGACCAGAACGCCTGAAGAACCTTACGTCAGTCCTCGTAAATACACTGGCTAGGCTCTTCACATATTAACTCTGAGCGCAAAGTCTCTACTCAGTGGAAGACCAGTAAGACCGTGTTATTGTTCAAGAAAGGTGACCTACGCGGTATCGGCAACTATTGCCCAATCTGCTTGCTGTCTGTTGTCTACAAACTTTTCACTCGAGTGGGTTTCGAAAAGAATTTAGTACGATGGACCACATCCACACGATAACAAGGTGCACTGAAGTATCGCGGGAGTACAAAAGACCGCTCTGTCTCACTTTCATCGATTTAAAGAAGGCCTATGACTTAGTTGAGATAAAGTAGTCATAGCCCTTGATAGTCAATGAGTCCCTATTCAGTATATAAAGATTCTTCGTAAGCTGTGCAAAAATTTCACAATCAAGGTATCACCATTCTATAACGATATTAACATTGACATCAAAACAGGAGTTAGGCAAGACGATACGATCTCGTCAAAATTATATACCACCACCCTCCAGAACGTCATGCGAACATTGGCGTGTGATAATATTGGAGTGAAAATCCATGGTTGGCAGTTATATCAACTTCGCTTTGCTGATGACATCGTCCTTATAACACCGAACATTAGCCAAGAGGAACGCATGCTTGCCGACTTTGATAAAGCCTGTGGAAAGATTGGTCTTCGACTAAATTTCACAAAAACGATGTTCATGAAGAGCGGATTGGTTTCGCATGCCCCATTCACGCTCAACGGAACGAATGTCTCTGAATGCTCCAGTTATGTCTATATAGGTTGGGAAATCAACATGTTGATCGACTTGGCTTCTGAGTTAAGCAGAAGGAAACGAGTGGCTTGGGGAGCTTTCGAGAGCATCGAGGATGTAGTGAAGAGGACAAAGAACACCCGAATCGGTGCCCATATTTTCGACTCAACGCTACATCCTGCGCTAATGTATGCGTCAGAAACCTGGTCGTTGCGTAAGCAGGATGAAAGATTACTCAGCGTTATTGAACATGCAGTCGAAACGATTCTAGGAGCGTCCTGTTTCACCCAAGCAAGGGAAGGGATCCGAAGCTCCGACCTGCGTCAATGATCAAAAATCAAAGATACCGTTCTGTACGCCAAACAGTCGAAGATAAGGTGGACCGGACACGTAATGCGTATGAATGATAATCGATGGACAAGAGCCGTTAGTGACTGGATTTCTCGGGATATGAGACGTACTGCAGGAAGACCACCGACGCGACGGTCAGAATTCTACACGAAGAGCCTAAAAGAAAGCTATGATGCTCGACGAATCCCTAGAGCGAGCAGAACCCACTGGGCTACTCTTGCACGCGACAGCGTGATTAGCGCGTCAACGGATTTGTTTTCCTTGGGAGTCAAATGCGATGCACTGAAGCGGATCCATCTCACCATCTGCATCATCAACGTCAAAACAAGTTCGCACCAGAAAGCCGCCGTGCTAAGAGGGCCAATGCTAGGGATCATTGCCGTCCCTAAAGGAACCATGTCGCAATGTGGCGAAGGGTTCCTCTCATCAGTGAATGCCGAAAGTTGCTCCCACACATGACATGAGAACTGTGTGGGAAAGCCTCTTCGGCAATTAAGCAAAAAATGCTCTTCAAGCAGTAATACGTCAAATGAGAAATATGATAACGCCGTAACGCTCTTTGTAAATATAGTCTATTGAGGAATTAAGTGGATACAAAATAATTGTATGTTTTCTCTCATTTTACGCAACCCAACATCACATTTATTGTTCAAAAGCCGTCACTTCTCTCATTTGAATCGTTTCTTACATGTTCCAAAAAGGTCTCCAAAGTTTTGCGCGTTGGTTCAACTACTGCTTGAATACTTTTGTCTACTCCAGGAATGCCGTTAAATGCTAGTCGAGTCGATTCTCCATGGAATCCTAAGATAAATGAGTGAGAGTGTTCTCCGATTTTCAACACAGACACTTGCCAAATTTCGTAGATTTCAGGTAGCTAAGTGCTCCCAGCCATGTCTGGTACAGGTTCCTCCACTCCAAATGTTGCACGGGTTGGTTGGGCCCGATACCAGGGCGAACCAAGGTCATGGACGTATTTAGCAGTATCAATAGCACTGGCGTATTCGGGCCCGTACAGAAAATTTACGTTAAAAATTGAAGAGCGTTCGATAAAATGAGCGCAGAAATCGCTGCAGTTACGAGTGTTGTACAACAAACACAATGTTGACAATGCGATCTCATTTCGAGCAAATCAGGTTTCCCATTGCTAGAGAGTTGGACAAGTCGTGTCGGTTTTGTCCGGAAAAAACTCTGTGCCCTCTACGACGCCTGACACGAGTGCTTAGAACTTGAAAACTCTCTATTAGAGCTACTCCGATATTCACAGGAGAATCTTAGTGCTCAATAGCATTCAAAGCCACTCATGAAGAACATTGAAATTTTTGAGCAGCAACCGAACTCACACGCAAATCCGAAGACCTTCTCGAATAACGGAAACAAGACGAATGCTCAGGTTGTATAAATGAAAAATAAATAAAATGCATTAAAAATTGTCACCTGGGAAAAACTGCCCTTTCCTATAACAGATAGAATCTCATATTTACACACAAGACGTGAATCAAGTCGTAAAGCTGGTCGATCCCTTAGCACTGTACATTCACCAATCGGCATCTCACCGCCGACCTGAAGCTATCAGCTGTCAGAATAAGTTGATAAATAATAAGAAACAAAAGCGGATTACGGTTAGAAACTCTTGGAAAGCTTTTTGTCTGGAGGTCTTCTCAATGACTAACTGCGTTTTGCTTTTCGAAGCACAATATGCGTTAACGCCGTCAAACTCCATGGACACATTATATACCCAATTGAAAAAAAAACGGAAGAAAAAAAAGAAACTTCAGCAAAAGAACTAAAAAGTACGGAATACTTTATACAGAAGACGGAAACTTTTTATTCACTGCCTATTATTTTTTCACGGTAAGGTATTATGTGAAATACAACTACAGAGACGCCGAGGTATTTGCAAAACTCAGACACCAATCCAGATACGAATCCTGGACTACCTATTCGGGAGCTCACGTGTTGTCCACTGCACCACTGAAGCCTTCAATTAGTTGTTCTTTCAGCCATGTTTTACTCTATCCATGCTGTCAGCAATCACGCATCAACGAGAATGATCTGGCGAGCACAGGTCGGCAATGAACCCAGTTAAGCTGAACAGTACAGAATAGGCGAGGAATATGGGGAAGCCAGTAAACACTACGCGTTACTGGACGCGTCTATTCGATGGGCGAATAAGCAAGTACATTAGTAATATCTACTTCCTATTCGCTTATGTATTGTTTATTTGTGGTAAAATTACATGAGCAAAACTAACGCATACAATAAGACAAAACGAAGCAGATTAAAAAGTAAAATAACATCTAAGCATTTAATGGATAGAATTTATAGAAACAGTGAAAAAAAAACCTATTCCACATAGGTTGGAAAGTTCAGCCTTTTCTTGACGAAGCAGAATTCGAAAAAACTTCGATCAGAAATTGAAAAAAAAAACTAATAACTCATTTCTTTAAAAGGTGAGGGGGCGGGGGAGGATAGCTCGCCTTTAAAAGCGTTTAAAACCAACCAACAAGGGATAGATTAAAAAATGACAAAAACAAATAAGAACGAAAAGATCCTTGAAATGGAAAAAACTGCTTTTTATAAAAGACTGTTTGAAGAGTAAACTTCCCAGTGATGTGACTGAGTGAAACATGTGAGTCATTGTGAGTAAAACACTGAAAAAGAATGAAAGCTATTGTCCTTCTAAGAATAATAAAACAAAATAAAATATCACAGGATCTGCAGTTGTTGTACTCTTTATACCATCTCGACTTTTTCGGAACGAGTTTTATAAATATCTTAGCGCCATTGTGGTTCTTTCACACGTAATACCCTGCCGTGAAAAATTCTACTACGCAGTAAATAAAAGGATTAACGTTGTTCTTTCAAAATAGTTTCCGAGAAACAATTGCTTCTCATTGTTCCATTTTTCTTTAGTCCTAGAATTTCATACTATCAGAGTCTTTTCTCCTAAACTGCAAAAGAGTAAAAGTTTACATCAAACTAAATCGTATTTCTGTAGCCTAGAGACTCGAAGTGTTAGAAAAGAAAACACAGAAGAAAAACAAGCCATTGAAAACTGAATGATGAAGCTACCAAATACTTAGCGGAATTAAATAGTTCATCTATTGCTAGAAATCGTACGATTACTCAGCTGTTCTTTTCTCTTTTAACATATAAAGACGTATTGTTAACCAGGTCTCTAATCTCTCCAGGGTCATGAAATTGGCACCATACTTATTCGCGGAAGAGCTACCTCCAATCCACAAGTCCTCGAAACTCCCTAACATGGCCATCACAGGATTCTAGGCAAAATCGATTCCACCAGCATTGAAGGACGTTCATGAAGACCAGAAATTCTCATGCAGCAGAATGCGAAGCCCCATGCGAAAACGTCCGATCGCCTTTGTGGATGACAGAGGTGCAAGTAAAAGAATCGAAGAGAAAAATTCACACAGTAAATGATGATAGGTTGTACAAAATAAAGTAAGAAGTAATAATAATGACATGTATTTTAACGCCTCTGTCGGAGACGTGAGTATTCGTGAAACGGTTGATATGAAATCGATCCGAGCAGTGTTGTGACGTCGATTACCGATGCAACATCAGTTCCAGCACTTTGTTACAACCAGTCATCGAAAATGAAAACAAACAAAAAAAAGGACGAAAAATACGACGACGATGACGAATACAACTGCGATTTCGATGACGACAATGCGGATGAACGGCGATGACAATGACGATGGATATGAGCTCAGTAAAGATGATGATAAATTATGCTAAAGAACGGTAACGATGGTGAGTATGAAGTCAGATGAGGATTAGGATGAACGATGATGATAAGGTTGACGATGGTTACTATCACAACAGTTATGACTATGATGACGAACGGTGATGACAACGATGATGAGATGACGAGGATGACGGCTGCAGTCATAATGATGACCATGGTGGTCGTAAGGAACAGTGACGATGATGACGATGATGATGATTACGATCACAACAGTGGTCAACACGGCAGGTGATGAGCGACGACTAGTGACAAGGAAGGTGATGAAGATGAAGATGAAGACGACGATGACGATGATGACAAGGACGACAACGAAGATGAAGCTGACGATAATGGTAAAAATTGAGTCCGAACTATTGAAAAATAGTAAATTAGCACGAGACGTCAAGCATAGCTAGCAAACTGACACTAATCTATTTTCATTTTCAGAAATTTTTCTAACTGCTCGGATATTTTCTTCAACAGCTGGCGTTTGACTAGGAGGAAAAAAACGAAATCGCATGCTCGTTGGTACATTTTCTCTATGGCAAAAAATCTTCTAACATCGAGATCGTTTATACCGGATTTTAAGCTTTATGCCTTTTCTTGGCAATGAAATGCAAGTTCTCTCCTATTCTGCAATGACTAAACGATGGCTTCTTCAAGCTTAAAAATCCCTTTTTTGGTATATTGGTTTAGATTCAGTTCCTCCCCGTTTCTCGTTTTTTATTTTTTCTAAATACAAAAGTTGGGAAATTAAAAATCAGAGAAACCTCTTTACAAGACTTTTCTCTAACGTTGGAGAAGAGTACGGAATTTTCCAAACAGAGTTTCTCCTCAAATCTGTTTAAGGTCTGAAATTTACAAAAATATGAAAGATAATATCCAGTTTTTTTGAAAAGACCGATTTTTGTACTTTCGAGGATTGAAGAATGTTATACAAGAACTACAGAAGTTCTGTTCGTAGAAATGGTGTTAAATGAAAGGAGAAAATGAAAAAAGTCCACTCGCGGTGCCAATGTATCGAGCCGATGTATTCATTCATTGGCAAGCTAACATAAGGTTGATAAAAAGATCTATTCGGCTAACGTCTCGACGTTTCCGTCTTCCTTAGAGCCGGCGATCTCAGTCGGTGGTCTACAGTCGCTCGTTTTCTCGATGTTGTGTCCTCGTCGTCATACCGAGTCGAATTTTCTTTCATTTTTTTCTTCAGTGGAGCACTGCTCGAATGTTTTGTGTTTTGCCCTGTTCCAGTGCTTTTCTGTCCTCCGAAATAGGTCTGGTAATAATCTTTCGTGTCTGGGGGACGCGTAGCTTGGTGAGCCGGAGACATAACATCGTGACAATGACCTCGTGTGCATTACAAGGCGCCTCTAACCACTGCGCTACACAAGCCTGAATCTTAATTTGTGATCCTAAACAATGTGATAGCGTTATCAAATCATATCCGAAATTTAAATCTAATCCCTTGAACAAAACGCCGCCTAGTCAGACGCCTCATTTTTTAAAAAGATAAGTGAGCGTCGACAAAGAAAGACAGAAAAGAGTTTTAGGCTCTAAGAATTTGGAATTTCATCACTAAAGAATACGAAAGAAGTCATGTCTTATTTGCGAAAATCTATAGATTGTAGGGATCTACTTCAACCGATCAACTTCAGTACAAACTAAAATCTATTGGCTAAAAGTAAAATGTTAAATGAACGTGTTACTCCCCGGAAAGGACAATAGCGCGTTCGTTCCCCACCATAGACACCTGCGGTCCAGAGTTTTGCAAATATCTCAGCAACGTTGTGGTTGTATTTCGCTTAGTACCCTGCCGCAAAATTATAATAGGCAAAAAATAAAAAGGTATAGAAGTAAAATGTTAAATTAGTCGCATGAGTCATATGTGATTCACACCATTGTTAAGGCGCTATTAGGAAATATTTTTGTATAGTCATTTCTTTTACTTCAAATTTATTCATCGTATCCCTTATTTAAGCAGATAGAACAAAAAAAAAGAAGAAAAAACAACCTTCACAAACATTTTCAGGAAAACAAAAATTTTCAGTGGGAGAAAAAAGAGAAGTCAGGTGTAGGTGGTTAAGTGTTATGTTGGATAGTGACCGAAACAATAAGAAATATTGAGTTTGAATTTGAAGTGCCACTATCATTTAGACGGCAGGAATTTCGACGAATAAGGGAAATTTCTCTCCAAATATCAACTTTTGTTTAATCATGAGATGAAAAAATAGCCAAAGCTTGAGAGGTTCATCTTTGCTTCGTATGAAAAGGAACGTCAGACGAATCAATAAGTATAAATAATTTATAAGCCTATAAAAGTGTCCACTAAGATAATAGCATGAAATTAAACACAATATATGATACTACTGTAAAGAGACCGTAATCTCGCATGGAGTGAAGGTATCGATCGATAAGAACACCAGAGTACGATAATGCAACAGAACATCCGAAAACTCAACATATTTTTCTTTTACTAGAACTAAATCGATGTTCTGAGTCCACATCCTGTGATTATAACATATTTAGACGATTTGGTTCTGTATTCTCTTTTGTTATAAGGATATCGATGAACTCTCCACTATTTTACTGAGTTTAGAAAAAGTTTGTTGTAAGAGTTCCTAGGATCGAGTTTATATTCGCCATTGGATCATAAATGTGTTGTTTTCTTTTTCAGCAATCGCGAGGTTGTTATTCAGCACACGTTTTACTTCCGTAGAAAACCACTTGCGACGCAATGGTAGCTGACGTTCTTATGAAGTGATCTTGTCGAGCTCATACGAGGTTGGTATAGTGACCGTTCTCGTCGTCGTTGCTGTTGTTGTTGTTGCTGTTGTCGCTGTTCTTGCTGTCGTTGTTGTTGTTGCAGTTGTTATTGTTGTTGTCGTTGTGGTTGTTGCTGTTGCTGTTGTTGTTGTCATTGTTGCTACCCTTATTGATGTTGTTGGTCAACGGCTGACGTTTCGGAGATTTCGCCTTCCTCAAAGCCGTGCTGTTACAAGTTGGACATATAAATAAATATATCGACTATTTATTGCCGAGTTTCATACAAAGTCGGTCTTTTGAGTGGCTGACGTTTCAGCAGCATAGACTGAATTCTTCAGAGTCGTTTTTTGCGTGCCTTCCATTGTGGAAGAACAGCCGCTTAGAGCCTAACACACTAAGTAACACTCTGGAAACGCTTTTGAAGAAGGCGAGACCGCCGAGACGTCAGCTACAGTTGGTTGGCAAATAGTTTTGTACGCAAGTAAAGTTTGTGTTATATGACAAACTCGTGACTGCTGAAAAAGAAAAGGACGCATTCATGAAGTTTGTTTTATTCATTAATCAATATTGGTTTGCTTCAAGTAAAAAAGTAGAGAAAAAAAAGAGGAAAGGAAAAGTAGAAGGCAAATATACAAAACACTATTCAAAACATCAATCTTCAGTAAAAATATACTTTTTCAACCAAGTAAGAATCAATGAGATGAGAATGGTTTAATTTTGTAGAAATATGTATGCTGATAAACTCTCAGCTCTCCTCCCAACGCCTCATCGTGGCTGGGAGGTACTCCTGGGTGTCGAACTGCGATGTACAGCGGAGGCGGCAACGTTTCCCAAGCTGAGAATGAGGCCGGATTTTCCATTAGGAAGCCCAGCTAGGAGAGTAAACCAATACTAGGATCGACCATCATCCTCGTTTCAACTTGTTGCATGGTGGGAAATCTCCGGCTGCAACTGCCAGTGGAGGTGACGAACTAGGGCAGACTTTGGCTAGGCTGATCTCGGGACTTAAGGGAAACATAATAGCTAGACCAGCTAAACTCCGAAAAGAGGAGATTGTGTTGAGGCCTGTATAAACAGTGAGGACGGGCCGTCCAAGTAACCAAATGAGCTAAACTTTTGCTTGTAAAAAAGACTAAAAAATGAATAAAAAACCTGAGCAAACTTGTCTATAAAAGATTTCATACAAATGAATGAAATCAACCTGAGTAAGGATTAGTAAAGGAGTGATGTCATTACTGACAAAAATTCGCGTTAATGGAAATCAGAACTTCGTCATTGATCATTAGAAGTGGGAAGAACATGATGAATTGGAGCAGCGGTAACTAACGATCAATAATAACCAATAAAGAGAAGAATAATGGGAACTCGAGATCCAAACGAATGAAAAGGAAAACTCTGGTGTAAGCGAAAAGAGCAAAGATAGAGTGCAGAGAAACGCAACAAGGAAAAAACTGGAGAAGACATGAGGGACAAATGAAATGTTGGCACTCACCGGTGGAGGACAGGTTTGAGCCAACGCTGTGGGGTCGAGTCGAGTTTTCGCGAACAATTTCTGGAAGAATCCACGCTTCGGACGGACGACGATCGTCGGCGAGACGCCCGACTGGCGATTGCCCATCGCACGGTCAGCAGCGAAGATAGAAAAGAAATATAAATGGACGAATCTAGAAAAAATACATCAGGATTAGCCTTTCCTTTGTGTGTGTGTTTTTTCCTCCCGTTTAACTTGCGAATACTACTGTTCCTTTTGAAGGAAATCGCTCATAGAACAGCTAGATCACGACTGCAAAATGTTATGAGAACATGTGGCTTCTAGACTTTATTAAGTGAATGGTCCTCGAATAAGCAGGAAGAACAACGTTGCTCAACTTGCTGGATTGAACGAACGAAAGAAAAGAAAGAAAAAAGAAAACTCAGAAGCATAACAAAAAAGGACGTCCTATACAAGTTTTACTTGCCAAATGTGATCGTATGTAGTCAGAAATCTTCCCAATCACAAAAATGTCGCTCTACAATCGGGAAGGAGGCACATTGGTAGGAAAAATTGCATAGAAAATAAGTGAAATCGATTCAGTCATGACAAAAGAAAGGTGGGTTTTGGGTGGAATTATACATAACAATTCCATAGGGAAGAAACAGTGTCATTTGTAAGATCGTAGAGCATTGAACCCAAGAAAAATGAATGAAAGGATGACTGAATGACGCAAGTGCATAGTACCGACATCTCATACCAGTAAAAAAAAGGAAGGAACGCCTTAGGTTCCAAGTGAGAACTTGTTTTTTTTTGCTAATCTTGTTATATTAAGGCACAATAGATAAAAATAGATACTGTTTGGTGGGAAGGAAACAAAATAGACTATGGGAAATGTGAGGAAAAAGGTCGTATTGAATTGTATTCTCTTCAAAAACCGCCGAAGATTCGTCATTATGGAAGTCTGCCGTGAAGTTCTTTGTCTTTGCCACTTTCGCATTCCTTTCTTTTATTTCCAGTGACGAAATCTTTCAGCCGATAGAAAGGATAAAAAGTTTGGTATGAAAAGAATGACCGCTTTCCGCTTTCTTTCCTCATAAAAATCACTTTCGTTTTTTGTTATGCTCTTCTCAGCATACTGTTATAAATAAAGAGTTGTCTCTAGTGTAACAGAAACCAATTAGCTCAATCCTTTTGTAATAGGGAATAGTTAAGCTTTCATTGAAAAGGCTAATGAAACAGCAAAAATACCAAATATAGACCTGTTGTAACCAAGAGAACACTATCATCGCCAAATCAGGGAAATGTAGAACCAGAGGAAATACCTTTAAAAAATACTACAAGGTACATTTGAAATTCCACTTAATGGGTCGAAATATTGATTTCATTGCAAAATTCGATAATCCAGAGACGTCGGAGTAGAGAATATGGTGGAAAGATGAACGATGATGAAACGTAAAAGAAAGACACGTAGATGTTTTCGTCAATAAATGAAGCAAAAAAGCCGTATAAAATGGAAAGACTGTCAAGGTGCATAGAAAAAGATAAAATAAAGAAGAGCAAACTAAAATCAACTGACCGAAGGATGAAGAGAATAATAGCAGTGGGCTGATAGGCTAAAAGTGTTGCCGTAGAGATGAGTTGACATGAGTGAACATAAGAATAAAATGGAAAAAAAGGATTAAAAAATAGAATTTCCCAATAAAGCTTACTAAGAAAAGATAGAATAAGACGAAAAAAAAGAATATTGCTTTAGTAGGAACAAAGAAAGTCGTTAACGTTTTCTTAATGAATAGACACGAGGTTGTTAGTTCAATGTTTGCTTAACGATAGCTAACGTTTCGGCGGATATCGGTCTTTTTCAGAGTCTATGTAGGCAAGCTAACGTAAGAAAATCGTTAGCGTAAGGTGGAATGACTGGGTTGAATGACTCAGAAGTTCGGTATTTCCAATCGGAAGTTCAGCTAAGAGTAAACCTGCACCAAGGGAGATGGCTGATGAGCTACCCCTGGCTAAATTTTCATTAAAAAAAAGAGCAAAGAAATTCTCACAGCAAAAATTTGGTGGTCCTAGTATCCTTCAAGTAAGAGGAGCCTATTCGGTAGTTCCATTAAGCGACAAGAAGGAATAGAGACTTTATTGATATCCATACTCGTTGCTTAGTGATTTAAGAGGATTACAGTATTTGGTAGAATGCTACAGTAGCCTGCGGTAACGTTTAAATACACGTTGACATTTATTGCAAAATGTTTGACCACGGAAAAAACAAACAAATACGCAACACGCCTCATTTCCCGAGCCTGAACTGAGCAGATCGATCGATGAATATACAATAAGGAGAATTTGTCATAGAACAGAAAATATTGGCAAAGAAATATAGAAAGGAGAAAAGGGACCTAAACACAATGGAAAGTAAAATGGTTATGAAAACCGAACAGAGCAGAAGGAAAAAAAAGCATGGAGGAATAAAGAATCAGCGGCAGAAATAACAGAAATGTTACTTAGTCTTTTGCACTAGTTGTGGCGAGGATCCAAAAGAGTAACGTACATAGAGTTTAAGCGTGACCTTGTACGCGATCGTAAGTGTGAATGCGACCTGAAGAAACGAAATGAGCGTACAATAGCGCTCGATATTACTGAATATGACGAACCGACGCAACGGACACACTGTTTACGGTGACGGAAGGATTCTCACGTCAATTCTGACGTCGTCAACGAATCAGAATGAGTCCCGAACGACGATCACCGCCGCATCAGAGAGCACTTTGTAACGAAACGATGAAGCTCAGACGCTGATTCGATCGATAACAGTAAATTCACGTGACAGTGGACCTACGAAAGAAAGGAACCGAACGGACGGACAGGTAGACAAGAATGAAAAACTAGCGGATGAATGAACAGATGGACGGACGAATGGACGAATGAATGAACGAACGAATGGTCGAACGACACAAGATGACCACGATTAGCCCTGACGACTTTTAGCCATCGCGAGCTGACTGACCGACCTGGTGGAAGCGGTGGTGGTGATGGTGGTCGACTGCACGGCCCCGATTTCCGGGAGTCTTTTAACGATGGGAAACGACCCTCACCGACCCCCACCAACTAACCACCACACTCACTGCCACCTGCTTTTTGATGTGACTGACAGTTAACTTACGTTTCACGCAGTAATTTCGTAAAATTTTGACGAATGCAACTCAGATTCGTTCAATTCAAAATGAAAAGACCTGAAAAACAGGCTTCAACAGGTCATAATTTCAAACGGCCAAATAATGATGAACAGAAAAATAAGTAATGACATAACACTGTCGGACTGACGAGTTTTTTCTCCAGAGATCGAAACAACCCTGTCATGCCACTACCTGAACGACATCACAGGCACCCGCCAACGCTGGTGTTTCAGAGGCAGTCACGTTATCCTACGACCACGTTTTTCAGAGCGTTTATTTTTTTCCAAGATCGGAGGAATTTTCCACAGATTGAGGTCGATGATAACCAAATTTTAACCAAATCTTGTAAAAAAATCGGAAACATCCGAAAAAATCCTAAGGTCATGCCATGAACTACCAATATTTTATGAATAGCTCAAGAGTGTTTTAAGCATTTAACAATGAAAGATTCCACTGTTTTGCTGTTTACTAATCTCTTTTCCTCCATCCTTTCCTCTTTCAATCTCTCTCTGAATCTCTCTTCTTTTCGTTCTCTCAGCCTTTCTCTCTCTAGCTTCTCCTTTCTCCCCTCTCTTTTTTCCCTCACTACGCTCTCTTTATAGGCCATGAACACGCCACTAATTCATGATACGTTCAACACATTTAAGGAATTTATGCTATTGTTTGTTTGCTTAAAAACATCACAAATGTGCTAGGATCCAGAAATTTCGAACAACAGCATTCTTTATGTATTTGTCTTCTCTGCCTGGCTTCTACAAAATAGAGATGATGACAGAAACTGCCAACGAAACGGTTACGGAGTGAAATCGAAGTACGATGGATGGGCTGACAAATGAAAGAAAAAACGGTTAGGTTGAATATTTCAATAACATTTTGTACAACAATTCCTAGAAAATATCCAGAAAATTGATTAAACATAATGCCATATCAATTTGAAAACTTCACAACCTGTTCGAAAATTTCACTATCACACGTGACCTGGCGCCCTATTTCAAAATGATATTTTGACCCCTGGGTGTGTCTTGCTCGCGATCCCACGTGAGCAATGCGTGGGCCTGTCCGACTCGTAACATCACGGTGAGTAGCCTTTCTGTTCAATATGGCGTCTATTCAAAAGTTTGATCTTCATTAATACTTTAGCCTTTTTCCACCGAATAGTTAAAGTGTTCTTATATAAAAGACGTCCAGGCTTTGAGGAAGGCGAAATCGCCGAAACGTCACCCATCGACCAACAACACCAACAACAACGACCACGACAACGAAGACCTATACCAACCTCGTATCAGCTAAAGAAGATCAGTTTATACGACCATATAAATAAATACACCAACTATCTATGCCGAGGCTTATAGGAAGTCGGTCTATTGAGTGTTCTAAAATCATAATGGTTCAATAATATTATTTCTTCAATGGTTTACCTTATCCCCATAAATATATTTCGGAGGCCTCAAGCACCAAACCTCAAGCTAAGAGATTAGGAAAAGCTTGAGTTCAATAGTTCTACCAGAAGTCCCAGCTAGAGGTAAAACTACATCACAAGAATCCTAGTAGAACTGTCACCTTCGTAAAAGAAGAAAAGTTAGGAAGAAAGTCGCACGGCTGTGAACCTCCATTCGATACCCACAAAGGACGCTCAGCTGGCGGCGGCCTTTGATGGTGACAACCCAGGAACGCCCTGGCACGTTGGATCAGTTATCTAGGGTTTCGAGAAGAACAGTTTACTGTGCCCGTAAAAATATCAGTCAGGCAGAAATCGTGCACTCGAACAATTTGTAAAAGACAGCCATCCAACAGTTCGAGCTTTGCTGTCTAAATAATCATTATGGTCTCGACTTTTATTCGTCCAAACCCCTTTCTCATTTACTTCGCCTAAATATAAGTGTAAAACCCTGCACTCGAAGCTCAAAACACATAAAGAATAATATATAAATGAGGATAATGAGCCAAATAAGTTCATTGAAATGTTGAAAAGTG